ATATATATATATATATATATATGATTTAAAATATATAACTTGATATGAATTGTAGGTGATGACTGTGGAAGGGATGCACAAAAGGTTTTTGTAACCAATTGAAACACTTTCTACAATTTGTAATGGAAGATGGTTTTCTGGTGTTTTTTTGTGTTTTGCTTGTCTGTGTTTATTCAAAAATATTCAAAAATATTATATAAAAAAATATTGTGTCTGTAGTCCAGATAAACCAACATCACATTGTCATATTTGATCCTAAACAGCAATTCAACCCAAAATAATCCAATTATCAGTGCAAATAAAAGAAATGACCCTTGCTTGAAAGAGGAAGCATCCAATAAGTGTCTCCAGGGAAGGAGGTTGAAAAAGTCAAGATGGCATCCATATAGACACAATTGAAACTCCATGTATATGGCTCTGCTAATAAGACACTGATGGGGAAGTTCCCATTATCCAACTATGAATTATCAAGATATTCTCCAAAGCAATTGAAGGCAGGACAAGAAGCAATGGGTGGAAACTACCGTATTTTTTGGAGTATAAGACACACAGGAATCTAAGACGCACCAAGATTTTGAAGAGGAAATTAAAAAAAAGTTTTTGCACTCTGCAGACCTCCCCAAAATGACCCATTTTTCATGAAAACGGGCCTGTTTTTTGTCAAAAAAAAGGGGCATGCATAGCCTTTAGGAGGCTTATAGAGTACTCCTGGGGGTTGGGGGGGCAAAAATGAGCAAAAAATACCCTGTTTCTTTGCTCGTTTTTGCTTGCTCCAGCCTCCAGGGGAATTTGACAAGCCTCCCAAAGCCTATGCACGTCCATTTTTGCAAAGGGGGCAGAGTTTCAGGAGGCGAAAAATGCTGTATTCAGTGTATAAGATGCACCCAGATTTTCACCCTCTTTTTTGAGGGAATAAGGTGCATCTTATACTCCGAGAAATATCAAGGAGAGAAGCAACTCAGAACTAAGGAGAAATTTCATGGCAGTTAGAACAATTAATCAGTGGAACAGCTTGCCTCCAGAAGTTGTAAATGCTCCAACACTGATAGTTTTTAAGAAGAGATTGGACAACCATTTGTCTGAAGTGGTATAGGGTTTCCTGCCTAAGCAGGGGGTTGGACTAGAAGACCTCCAAAGTCCCTTCCAACTCTGTTATTCTATTCTATTCTATTCTATTCTATTCTGTTCTGTTCTGTTCTGTTCTGTTCTGTTGTTCTGTTCTGTTCTGTTCTGTTCTATTCTATTCTAACTAGACTCTACTTTGCTGTTTCTACTATAGGCACTAAGAACCAAATTCGGAGTTTAGGCTGTGGTGAAAACTGCTTCATATACAAACCTGCTGTGAAATTCAATTGCTTTCTTCATCGGCTTTCAATCAGAGTTTTTAAAAGGGATTTCCAAAAATAAAAGGGAATATAAAGAAGGAGGGAAGCAATAAAAATAAAGCCCACGGGCATTTAAAAGAAAAGTATAGAAAGAAAATTTACGAAGAGGCTACGCTCCAGGGATCATACAATCAAGTGCCCCTCACTGTTTAAGCGCAAATGATTAGAAGTAATTAATATGCAAAGCCTGCACAGGTTTAAAATAGCAATTAGCCAAGTATAACACTCCTGCTCTGCAGAAAAATGGCAATTCCCTCTCCTCCTCGTTTTCCAGCGTTATTTACTTCTTTTATTTTTAGCTGCACACGCAATTAAACATATTTCTGCTATCTGCTTTTATGACTCAGTAAAACGTTGAATAGGGAGAAAAAAAAGCGAAATTTCATTACAGAAGAAGAAAAAGAGGTAACTTCAGTGGATGGCATTTACTTACTTATGCATGTATCCATCCGTGCTGCCCGTTAGGTTCATCTGCATAACAGTCTGAAACTCTGTTTCATTACAGCAATATTTAAAGACGGTGTTGTTGTGGTGACAGCAAAAGATGTACGATTTGTTGTCCGACAGTCGGGGACAATGGAATCCAAAGTGGGAACGGCCTTTGTAATCGGTATATGGCTCACAGACTCGAAAATGTGCAGAGAAAGCTGTAAGGCAAGGTGTAAATCTCTCTGTAACTCATTGGCAACAGAAAAGGAGAATAATTAGCTTTTGTGCAGCACTGCCAAGCATTTCTGTAAGAGTGTATATCTCATGACCTTGGGGGATGAGGGGAAGCCATCAGTGGTGGGTTTCCAAATTGCTTACTACCGGTGTTTGCTGTCTTTCTCTCTCGCGCGCGATGCTACTGCACATACACAGAAATGTCCGGGCAGGTGGGCGGAGCCGGTTCTCCTGATTCGGGCCAAACTGGGAGCGACCCACCTCTGGAAGCCATGCTCCCTAGGAAAGTACAGGTAGTCCTCAACTTGCAACAGTNCTGAGCCGGTGAGATTTGAACCGCTGACCTGCTGATCTAGCAGTAGCCTGCAGTGCTGCATTTAACCACTGCGCCACCTTGGCTCATAAGGAAACGGATCATATGAACCAATAACCAACAACAGAACCGACCATCCTTTCACCAGTTGAATTCCGCATCTCACAGCTACCAGTCACAAAGTCACAAGACTAGAATCAGCCTTGTGATTCAACCAGTCCTGTGATTCAACCAGTCACAAGACCAACTGATCACCCAGGACCTATCTAAATGAGCAAGACACTCCCCCCCCCAAAAATGGTGAAGATGTTACCTAGTTTGATAATGAAACATGTGGGATCTAAACAGCAAGCTCGGAGAAGGGACCCCTGCCTAAACACAAAGAGTTGAGATGTTGGAGAATATATGTAGGTCAGAACTGAACTGTTGCATTCTTGGTGCACTTAGGTGCACAATTATGTTATTATCTAGACTCAGGGGTGGGATTCTACCTGTTCGGACCGGTTCGGGTGAACCGGTAGCTCCGAAGATCAGATGGGAGTGAACCGGTTCGCTCCAATGAGCAAGTGGGCCTGGGCCCGCCCACCCCTAGGCTTTACTGACCCTTATCTTCTCAGCTGAGTCACGCAGCAGAGAGAATTGCTGCACCCCAGCTGTTTTCCTCCCACCTCAGCAGTAATGCGGAAGATAACTATTCTCTAAACTGTGCACACCTGCAAAGCGTGCACTCAGAGAACCGGTTATTAAACCGGTAGGATACCACCCCTGTCTAGACTGGGAACAAAACATCTGCAGGAAAACAACCAATCTCAAAGATCATCAAGGATGCAACAAATGGTTGATTTGGGCTAACCCTGATTTGGCGTCTTTTCAAACACTATTGTGAATTGAATACCAGTGTAAATGAAGCTCCTAAAATTTCCTCAGAAATTTTATGGCGCAGAGTAATTCTGTTACAGCGGTACATAAAAATTGTTCAGCACTACTACTATACTGTACGAAAGTAGCCTTCCAAGAAATTCTCAGTTCATAAGAGCTGCTACGGGAGAAGAGATTAGGTAAGTTTTATAAGAAGTGAAGATTATATACACCGTCGACCGAATTGTTGCCATTGGATAGAAATCTTTCTTTCCTGAAATCCAGAATATAATTTCCCTTGTGGTATCTGTGAAAATACTATATATCTCTGCTCAAAGAGTTTAAGGAAAAGAGAACTGTATAGAGGGTTTTGATAGATTCTATATATTACTTCCTCCAACACCACCGAATGTCAGTTCCTGGGTAATTCCTCAAGCTAATGTAATATATTGCATATAATTGTCCAAAGAGCAAGGCACCATTAATTCAATTCCCAGTAGTTGTTTGAATTCCATAGATAAGGTCTGGCTATGTGGATCCAATATAGCAGGGATTGGCGAACCTTTTAGACACCGAGTGCCCAAACTGCATGCGTGCGCATGCGTAAACTGAAAGGTGCGTGCATGCATGGACATGCACATGTGTGGACATGCATGAACATACGCAGCAGAGACCCGAAGAACAGCTGGCTGGCGGGAGGCAAAGCATCCCAATGCTGGCAGCATGGCAAGAGATAAGATCTTTTTCTTCCCTGAGCTTCTGTTTGCAGGGAAACAGTAACTCATGAAAGGAACCCCACAGAGATCTGACTTGGGGCGACTGTGCATGTGCCAGCAGAGCAGTGGTGGGATTCAAATAATTTAACAACCGGTTCTCTGCCCTAATGAATATCTGGGTAGGTGGTCATGTGACTGGTTGGGCTTGGCCAGCTCAAGGTCACTCAGATTGATGGGCGCTTCGCCTTAGCTGTTANCAGGGAAAAGGGCGGCCTACAAATATTAATAAAATCTCAAAATCTCAAATATGTAGGCCCAGCAACTGCCAAAAAGATCCACCAGCTAGGAAGCTTTAGGCAACCTCCTATACCAGGGGTTGGCAACCTGTGGCTCCGGAGCCACATACGGCTCTTTGGGCCCTCTGCTAGGCAGTGATGTGCAGTGAGGTGAATGGCTGGTGAGGCAAGCGGGCAAAAGCCGCCCCGCCGCCCCGGTGCTTTCCCTGGAAGCTTTGCGGGGAAACCCTGCAGGCCCCAAGAAAGAATGGAGCAGGGTTGGGGGTAGCCCGGGGAGCCCCTGCGTGGGTCGTGAGAGGCGCGGAGGGGATGCGGGAATGCGGAGGGGACCGCAGAGCTGGAGGAAGAGGAGGAGAAGGAGGGGGAAGAAGAAGAGGAAGACTCCGGAGTTGGCTCACCCGTCCGCCCGTCCATCGGGTGGCTCAAGCACTGCACTTCGTCTGCCCGGCCGCTGCTGCTTGTCTGCCTGGCTGCGATCACGGAGCCCCGTTGGGCAGGGACGGTGCTGACCCGAAGCTGGATCTCGGGAGGCGGCGAAAAGCAGGGGAAGTGACAGGCGGCGGGATCGGAGGCAGCCAGCCAGCCAGCCAGCCAGGGGTGATGCTCCGGAGCATCCCCTCCGCACCTCCTGCCTGCTTTGACTGCCGGAGAGCGCCCTTGCCTTCTTGCCTTACCGCTCCCCTCTGCGTCAAGGTGAACCACAAGCAAAGGGTCTCCCCGGGGGAATCCCGCTCAGCTCCCCAGAGCCCGGCCAGGGGTTGATGATTTCTGCGAGGCTCAGATGGGAAAGATGCGCACTCCCCTCCCCCCAAGTCCTTGCTGGCCTGTCAGTGCGCTTAGGACAAGCAGGGCGCCACAATCCTCCCTCCCACCCTTGGTGATAAGTCTTCCAAGTGGCGCGGCGGGGCTTAGATGTGGCTTTCGGAAAGCCGCAGCGGGGCTTCAGGGGGGGTCTGAAAGCCCCTCTGAAGCCCCACCGGGGCTTTCCGAAAGCCGCGGCAAAGCCCTGAAGCCCACCCACCCCCCCCGTCTGACCTATTCCCCACCTAGCTGGCCAGCCGGCACAAGGCCTCACCGCTCTTCTCCTCCTCGTCCTCCCCGCTGAAGCGGCGGCGGGCTCCGTGGGGTCTCATTCCTCCCCCGGTGCGCCGAGCTCCAGTGGGCTGGACACGGGTGCAAGGGGCCTGGCAAAAGAAAGCAAGCGCCAGCCCGCCACCGCTGTGTCCAACAGGCCCGGTGTCTCGCGTTTATGGCGGACATAAACGTGAAATGCCTGGCCTGTTGGACACAGTGGCAAGAACTTCCCTGCCACTACCGCACTCTGCTGCCTCGCCCCTGCCTCCTCCGACCCCACCACTGTGTCCAACAGGCCAGGCATCTCGCGTTTATGGTGGACATAAACACGAGACACCTGGCCTGTTGGACACAGTGGCGAAAACGTCCCTGCCGCTGTCGCGCTACACCGCCTCACCCCCTGCCTCCTCCGACCCCACTGCTGTGAAGAAAGAAACACACGCACACACACAAACACACAAATTCCTCACAATTAAAAATTACAAATTAAATTACAATAATTTTGAATCCCCCCTCCCTCTGTCCGATCCACATACCTTTTCCAGCTGTGGATTTCAACTCTCCTATATTCCGCCTGCCATGATGAAAATGTAAAAAATTAAATAAAAAAGCAACAGGCACAATTTGCTGCTCCCAGATCAGGAGGCGGGAGAATCATGTGCCTCCTTTGCATAAGGAATTTTTCGCTTTTTAACCCTTGCTTAACTCT